TCCACCATCTGGTTGGTGCCTTTCAGTAGGGTTTGAGGTTGGACTTCCTTTATTTTACTCATCTATTAGATCATCCTAGCTTCTGAAGTAAAAATACTTGTTAAGTATTTTTGTCTGAGTTTGTATTTTTAAAGAAAGACTACAATATTCTGATTCGGGACTCTCCAAGCCTTCACTGAAGAAAGACAACCTATAGAAGTTAAAGTTGTACACAAAATTTGTTTTCCATTTGATTTTTTTTTAAGTCATTCGTGTGACTGTTCATAATCTAATTGTACATTTAGCTGAGCTAAATTATGTATGGGACTCCCTTAGTACTCACTGAGTACATCATACATCAAATTTAATGAAGTCCTTTTGTGTGGATTGCATCTCCCCCCATGCTCTTATCTGCTTAACTCTACTTTTGTCAAATAAAGACTCCGAAACAAAAACCCTTAAATTATCTTCAGCTGACTGAATATGGTTTCAGGGAAACCAGAGAGGTGGTTCAGGCACAAGGATGTCTCCTGGGGGGGTGTTCTGGGTTTGTCCCACTGGGAGGAGGCCTGGGGGCAGAACCAGGACACGGTGGAGAGATTGCTGCGTAGCACGTCCGATAGGCTCATCTACAGAGACGTCACTGCAATGGGTCATTTTATAGTGTACAGAGGAGAGAGTCTGGTGGGAATGAACAAATTCTACTTTTAAACAGTTCATCAGTGAAAAATCATACAGGGTAAAAGCACTGGAAGGTTTCATAGGTAAACATATACCGATTTTTGCCATAATGTGGCACAGTGAGACTTTATTCATGTATGAAATACACGCGCTTGATTAAATCACACTCAGAATTAACACATGCTTTAAAAGAGACAATATCCCAAAACGTTGCATCCACCAAGAAGTGAGTGGTCGCTCTTCTTCATAAAAGAGGGTCAACGAGTCAACAAGTCAGTGAAGCTGGACTTGGATCCAGCTCGGGTCCAGGAAAAATTCAGGCTCTAGAGCTCATTTTTATCAGGTAAGTAATTCTTTGAGCACTGCAGATTATTCTCTTTGCCACTGTTCAGAGAAGAAGAATTATTATGTTAAAGCCTAATAATCTGAATTTTATGGTTAGATTTAGATGAAAGGTGTGTACTGTAAAAGAGAAATGTTTGAATCAAATCAAATCACTTTTATTGTCACATCACATGTGCAGGTACATTGGTACAGCACATGTGAGTGAAATTCTTGTGTGCGAGCTTCACAAGCAACAGAGTTGTGCAAAATACAATAATGTAAACAAGCAAAATACAAGAATGGCTACATCTGAAACTAATAAATATATGTACAATATATAATAGTATATGCATTTCTGGATGTGTATACTAAATATTTTTCTACGTGTGTGTGTGTGTGTGTGTGTGTGTGTGTGTGTGTGTGTACACATATTTTACAAATTAAATAGAGTAAACAATAAATAAAATATATAAAAATATACAGAGTGAGACATGTGCAAAACAGTGGCATTACTGTACAGTATGGAGTGCATAATGTTGAAGTTCCAGTAGTGAAGCTGAGGTGTCTATGACGTGTTCAGCAGTCTGATGGCCTGGTGGAAGAAGCTGTCTCTCAGTCTGCTGGTACGGGACCGGATGCTGCAGAACCTCCTTCCTGATGGAAGCAGTCTGAACAGTTTATGGCTGGGGTGACTGGAGTCCTTGATGATCCTCCCCGCTTTCCTCAGGCACCGCTTCCTGTAGATGTCTTGGAGGGAGGGAAGCTCACCTCCAATTATCCGTTCAGAGCACCGCACTACTCGCTGGAGAGCTTTGCAGTTGTAGGCGGTGCTGTTGCCATACCAGGTGGTGATGCATCCAGTGAGGATGCTCTCAATGGCACAGTGATAGAAGGTCCTGAGGATGCGGGGGCTCATGCCGAATCTTTTCAGTCTCCTGAGAAAGAAGAGGCGCTGCTGCGCCTTCTTCACTGTTTTGTTTGTGTGTACTGACCACGTAAGATCCTCAGCCAGATGTACACCAAGGAACCGGAAGCTGCTCACTCTCTCCACAGCAGCGCCGTTGATGGTGATGGGGGTGTGTACTTCTCTGCACCTCCGGAAGTCCACTATCAACTCCTTTGTCTTTGCGACGTTGAGGGTGAGATGGTTGTCTTGACACCAGTGGGTCAGGGCGCTGACCTCCTCCCTGTAAGCCGTCTCATCACCGTTGGTGATAAGACCCACCACTGTAGTGTCGTCCGCAAACTTCACAATGATGTTGGAGTTGTTAGTGGCTGTGCAGTCGTAGGTGTAGAGTGAGTACAGGAGAGGGCTCAGTACACACCCCTGTGGAGCACCAGTGTTCAGTGTGATGGGGGATGAGGTGATGCTGCCCAGTCTGACCACTTGGCGTCTGTCAGACAGGAAGCTAAGGATCCAGCTGCAGAGGGAGCTGCTCAGTCCTAGATCCTGCAGTTTCCTGTCCAGCTTCGAGGGAACGATGGTATTGAATGCTGAGCTGTAATCTACAAACAGCATTCTCACATACGTGTCTCTCTTCTCCAGGTGTGACAGGGCAGTGTGTAGTGTCAGGGCTATGGCATCATCAGTGGACCTGTTGTGGCGGTATGCGAACTGTAGAGGGTCCAGTGAGTCGGGTAGTGCAGAGCAGATGAAGTCCCTGACCAGCTTCTCGAAGCATTTGCTTACGATGGGGGTCAGGGCTACAGGTCGCCAGTCGTTCAATGAGGAGATGGTGGAGGATTTGGGTACAGGGACGATGGTGGCCATTTTGAAGCAGGCTGGGACTACAGACAGAGAGAGGGAAAGGTTGAAGATGTGTGTGAACACTCCAGCCAGCTGAGCCGCGCATGACTTGAGGACGCGGCCGGGAATCCCGTCCGGACCTGTAAACCTGTTTAGCTGTTACGGTAAATAAGTCACCTTATCAGCGGAGACCATAAGGCAGTTGGTATTGTGATTCAATAAACTGAGGCTGTTTCCTAAAAGTACAAATAGATAAGTCAGTGAAACTGAACTCCAAACTGAAAATCAGTGTCACGCCAGCACTTCACTCGCCCTGAATAACTGATTCTGAATCAGCATGACCTTGTTCCACTTTGACCTTGAGTGGTTCTCTCTCTCTCTCCCAGTCACCATCTACTGTGTGTGTGTGTGTGTGTGTGCGTGTGTGCGCGTGTTGTTTCTGCTTATTTGCAGGAGTGGAGATAAGTCTCTTGTAGCAGAGTTTCTCAAGTTTATATGTCTTCTAAAATCCACCACCTGCTTTATCGTCCCATCTCCGGCTCCTTCCTGCTGGATCAAACAAAGCACCGTATTACAGCACGTACACAGGCACAAATATTCTTTTTGAAAAAGGCCGCTGGCAACATCACCACAACATGTAGACCAACTAATGCTACTAACCCTCATCTCCAGGCAGAAAAAAATGCAACACTAAAGAGAAGTAACTAGTTACAACCATTATAGATGGTTTCAATGTCATAAAAATTAATTAATTAAAACTAATTAAGCTCAAGAAAAAAACAGGAAGTTGTACTGAACATTTTTCAGCCTCATTACCTCAAACAATGTACCAGGGGAAACTACTCAGCTGTGTATGCCTTTTGCTTCTCTCTAAAATAAATGTTTGAGCTGCTCTTTTTTTGTTGACAACTACATAGAAAGATTTTCTATTTTCATGTCACATTTTATTTAAAATGTATTTTCCCTTATCTTACTCCACGTGCTTTACATGTTGTCACAACACACCCTGGGATTCTCTCTCTACATGCTGTAGAGAGAGAATCCCAGCACGCCGTGGGATTATATCTAAAACTTTCACAAGGTTTTGTGTGTGTGTGTGTGTGTGCGTGTGCGTGTCGACCTTAAGCTCCCTTCATTTCTGCACAGTATCTTAGCTATTCTGTGTCTGCACTCTTCTGGACAGAGACCTCCAGTGTTGTACCTGGAATCTACTGGAGCCATTGGAGGACTTACAGCTCGCAATGCTCATATTACCACTAGAACTACTTCAGATGGTTCTAGCTGGTGTTTTCTCTGGGGTGGAATGATTGTACATAACAAACCTTTGAAATTTTTAAGTTATTAATTACTTTAATGACTTTACAAAACAAGACAAAAACTGATAAATGCAAGCTCGGCTTAAATTTGCAGCTGCCCACATGGAAAAGTTTACCACAGTGTTTGTCAAACACAGCGGTGGTAGCATCATGCTCAGGCTCTGTGCTGCCTGTGGTAGTGATACATTGTAGATTGAAGACAAAGTAGATTGATTAACAAAGAAGGAAGACAACCTCAACTTCACCTCAAATCAACAGTTGAAACTTGGATCTTCCAAGGACATTGATCCCAGACACAAGCCAACATTGTTTTTGAAATGGATAAAGAAGGCTGACATCAAACTTCTGGAATGTTCTTCCCAAAGCCCCGACCTAAGCCAACCTTTTTAGAAACGAACAAAAAGGGTGAGCCCCCGATAAGCCAAAACTTGTTTAGGAGACATAACAATTTCTCTGACTTTCCGCAATTCTGGTCAAGATTAGCAGACTCATTTCCAGAGCTTGTGATTCATTTGGGAAGTAAACATTTAAAAAAAATATGTCAGACGTCTGCATAAGGAAGAACTCATTGAGTAACAACAAAACGAAAGTTAAGTCAAAATTGAAATTCCTGGGCTTTGTACCCTAGCCCTTTTTCACAGCTAATTAAAAATTTAACTACCTTCAAACTATATAAAGTGTCCAAAACTTGAAATCAGTAAATTGTGCTGTATTATCTTGTGTTATGGTTTAATATTCATTTATACGTGTGTGTTATCTATCTGTTCAGTTCAGATCACTTCATCAACCATTATCAACCGCTCTAGTCAACAAACAAAATCATGTTGTTTTTTTTCAGAATTGAATTTCCCAACTCGATCATGAATTTGAAATTAAGCTCCCTATAACCACACCATTTCTATCTGGCATTTATTCCACAATACTATTCTACGTGATCTTTTCTATACTATATATGTATATATATAATTAGTCCAAATAATGTATTACAGAAAAATTTGCAACTGCTACCTTACCCAACGCAGTGGCTGCCAGTCTGATATCTCTCAGCTTTGCGATCATGTCCGAAGTTAGTAAAGACACTACGCCAGCAGGAACAACAGTGACCACAACATGAACTCTTTCACTCAGTTCAGGAGCAGCGTTGTATCCTAGATCTCCCTCTTCCAGCTTGTTTTCAGGATCAAACTAGAAAACAATGGAGTAAGAAGAGGTGTAAAGAAGATTACACCTCTTCTTACTGAAACTCATCTCAGTTTATATCTCTTGTTTATTAAATAAACAAGAGTTTAAGTAATAATTGTGATTATATTCAGAAGGCACAAACTAAACAGAGCCCTGAAAAAAGTCTTACGAAGTTTTGACTGTGGAGAAGATGAGATAGGATGAAAGACGGTAGAAGTCAGAATCAAGGGTCTTCAAAGTCAGAAAAGAATGAACTGACTATGCAATAAGGACTTAAAGGCTGCTGGAGTCCAGAAATTATCAGCCTGTGATAAATGCCTGAGGACATGGTATACAGGGAGGGAGTGATGCTTGAAAGAAGAATAGCAGGCTCATGCTGAGACTGAGAATATCACTGCTAAAATTATTATGACTCAAAAGAAAGGTAGCACATCATAAACAGAACTTGTCACAAGATCACCAAGACTACACACCATTACTCAACTCTGAACTCACACAGCTTATTTTTAAGATATTAACTTTTATCTTGTAGGCATATAAAATAGTAATTTGTAAACATATATTCCCCTACTATATCCCATACTTTTGAAATGAAAACATTGTAACACTAAAATGTAAATGCAAATCTAGTGATTTGCAAATTGTATGAACCCATATAAGAACACAAATAAACAAAACCAAAAAACTAGACATATGAAGCAAAGCCAAAGGTCAAGAGATTCTACCTCGTAACCATCTTTCACATGTCCTCGTAGGGCAAGCTTAATGTCTTCCACATGAACGCCTTTGGTCCTTTCCATGCCCATGATGTCATTAATAACAAATGAGTAATGACCTTCATTGGTTTTGGAGAATTTATATGTTTTGTACTGAAAACAGAAGATGGAGTTCATAAGTCTTTGTTTAAAGCAGCTACAGTCATTATTTGACAGTAAAAAATTGATAGATAGATAGATAGATAGATAGATAGATAGATAGATAGATAGATAGATAGATAGATAGATAGAAACATACATACCTTTTTAGTGAATGAATCTGCTGTAACGTGTTGATCTGTTGGAGCTCGATTAGCAACTCTGCCTTGTAAAACGCTGTCAACAGAGTTGATGAAGGTAGATTTCCCCTCACCAGTTTGCCCAATAAGCAGAATTCTGAGATGGGTAGCTTCATGATTTCGAGGACTGTACGATTTCAGAAAATCCAGCGTATCCTGGTTATTCCTGCAAACAATCAACCAAACAGACACTGAAACTTTACAAATAATTTGTTTTTGTTTTTAGAAATAAAAAGGTATCACTTTAATTTTTCTAAAAATTTAGCATAAATAATATTTCTTGAACTTTAGCCAAAACCTTCTTTTAGGCCATACCAGTTTTGTGTTTTACCAACAAAAACTGAGCTATCATGAGCAGGATAAACAACACCAAATATTATGTCAGTGATCTTGGGCATGTAGGTTTGGATCCCCCCCCCCCTCAATCAGTAACGCCTTTGTTTAGAAAATGTAGTGTGTTTTTCCATATATTATCTTTGTCTAATATTTACATTTATTTGATAATCTGAAACATTTAATTGTGAAAAAAGAAAAACGAATACAAAAGGAAGAGGACAAACACATTTTCACACCACTGTAGTCTCAACAGAGTTATATAAACTACATTCTTGTTCACTAGCTGGCCTACTAAGAATGGGTTTGAGAAGAATGGTTTCATTATTTTGATATTTTTGAAATTTCACAAAATCAAGAATTTTTTGTTTATTCTTGTTAATTAAAACAAAACAAAACATTGAAATAAGATATGGCTTGCACTGTTAGCATAACAGCGATGCTCTTCTATCACACACAACAGTCAGCTACCAAAACAAAAAATCTAAATTCTGTGTTAAGGAGCAGAACGAAGCCAAAACAATAATATATGTTTATCATACTCACTTTGGCAAAGGCCTCCATGGCCGACTAAATGCTGAAGAGGAAAATCACATATGTTAACATAATGGGAAGACAGGAACATAAACAAATAGTGTCACAATGCAAAATTGGAAAATTTATCAAGTGTTAACATCATTATCATTTAATAAAATTTGAGTGACACTAGGTGGAGCATCTATTGCTAATAGTGTTACTGGGGGTTTTTTTTATGTTCACCTTAATTTCTTGGTTAGGTTGAAGAATAAAAGTTCTTTAAAAATGTTTCACATATAAGGATTTCACAGTTTTCAGTGTTTGTTGTAAAAATAAAATAAAAAACCCAATCATAAATGTTTTAAATTTTTTTTAAACTCTGGATGCATTTTGCTCTGAGACTAGTGCGACATGTAACAGGCCAGAACTTACCTCCGCCCATATCTGTAAAACAAGACAATTATATGAAAAGGTCAGCAAACTGAAATAAAAAAAAGATGAAACTAGATATGATTTGCAATTCAGAGTCTTTCATGGTCCCTTCATCCTCACTATATGCGTTTGAGTCCATTCCAAGATTCAGAATCATTCAATTGAGTTTCATAAACAAATATTTTATTGACAGTAAAACAGAAAATATAACATATATTTAAACTAAGATATTTTACTATTTCATGAAAAATATTAGTAATTAGTATAAATATAAGTTATAAGTATATTTATACAAACTAATAAAAATATTAATTTAATAGTTAATTGTGAATATGATGACAGCAACATGCTACAAAAAAACTTTGGAGGTGAGCAACAAAATGCTGGAAAAATAAATGGTGCTAACAAGAAGCAGCCAGAGGAACACTTTACAGCTAAATAGGTTAATTTACAACAGCTCAGTGACATGATTGGGTATAAAAAGAGCATCTTAGGCAGAGTTTGTTAGAAATAAATATGGGCAGAAATTCATCAATCTACAAACATTATGCAAATTATGGAACAATTTCAGCAACATTGGGTGTTCAGGATCAGGCTGCACTGCATTAAAAACAGGCATGATTCTGTCATTGAAATCACTGCAGGGCCTCAGGAACACTGTCAGAAATCACCTTCTGTGCATACAGCTTGACATGCTATCCAAGCAGATTAAAGCTCTATCATGTAAATAAGAAGCTATATGTGAATATAATCCAGAATAATCACCGTCTTCTCAATTTAGATTTGCTTAGTCAAAGTTGAAAACTTCTATGTGTTCAAATGATTTGAAATGTAAACTAAAGACGAGAAGGCCATCTGGCGTTTTATCAGTGAAGATCTTGCAAGACAATGTTAAACTATTTTCTATTCTACTTTCTATTTTCTCTTTTCCAGTCAAGTCTCGGTGCTCAACTACATGCAGTTCAGACCTTTCACCAACCGAAAGCATTTGGTGCATCAAACCTCTCCTCTATAAAAGTCCAGCAGCTGTTAAAAGAGGAAAGGACGCTACACAGAGGTAAACATCCCTATGTCGAAATCCAGTATGAAAACAATAGAACGGAAGGCGTGTGTGCATAGTGGAAAGTAGATATGCTCCTGGAGAAGTTAGGGGAACTCACACGTTTTATCAGAGTTACTTTTTAACACACACACACACACGCTCTGAGAGCAGAATAAGCAAGGCTGTGATTGTAACTAACTACACAGTGAACTAATTGTCTTTCTTGTTGGTATTGTAACTGAATTTGAGTCAAAGCAGTATAATTGAAAAGGTCTTACCTTCTCCGATGTGGTTCTGGACACAATGACTGCAATGGGGTGTGTGGGGGTATTCTGTTAGTTTCCTTACTGCTTTCACTTTCATATTCACCTATTTTTTTTTCAAGTAAGTCATGTGACTTTAAAGAAGCATAGTTTTCTTGTTCACATTACTTATTGAATTACTGACATGCAGGTTAGTGCGCTTTCAAAATAAAAGACGCACACCAGATACAGTAAGAAGTTGCAACGCGCGTTTGCGTACATACTGTATAATAGGCACTGTTTTTGTCCGCTAGAGTGGGATTTTCACTACATCTCTGTGCTTTCATCGTTTGTTTGAAGCCAGTTCACCTCCTTCAACCACTTTTCCGAGAATACGTGCTTCTTTTGCGGTTCGGACTCCTTCTGACATTTATTTGGAGGTGGAGTAACACCAAAGTAGGGGAGACTGGGTATAGTTGTAATGTGGGTCAGTTGTAACACTTCCAATTTCTCCAATTTTGTCAAACACAGACAATTTAAGAAGTTTTTTTTATTTTTTATCTTTACTTTATTTCATCTTCTAATAGCATTATCTGCTTTGCAGTTAAACTCATCAAACTTAAATTATGTTATTTGTATGTCTATGGGGATATATTCTGTGTAGGTCTTTAGTGCTAATGTTTTAGCCGTTGGCTGTAATGTTAGCTAGTTCATGCTATAGTTGTAACAGCAACAGTCTGGGTTAGTTGTAACAATAATGCAGATGTTACAACTTACCACACTATTACTTTAACTTATATTAAACAAGTTGGGGCAATGACATCAGCAGAGAGAGGTTCACTGGTCGCCTTTGTATATGCGGTTAATGCCATTGGCAACACAATTCCTCCACTGTTTGTGTTCCCACACATACATTATGCAGACCACTGTGTCAGAGATGGACCAGTAGAAGTATTGGTAGTGGAAATAAGTCAGAATGGGTGCAAGAAACAGATTTCCTCATCTTTCTGAAGCACTTTGTAAACCACACCAAGGTAAGCCATGAAAAAAAGTAATGGAATGAGCATGAGAGAGCATTTTGAGGGACAACGATTCAAGTGACCCTTTGTAGAGCAACTCAGACTCGTCATTTACCGTCCAAATCCATGCAAGCCATTTCATTTTCAGCAAGCTGCTGGTTCACAGTCGAACTTTTTCCCCTTGAGCCTTTCACAGTAAAACAGGTCACACTAAAACAGATTACACCACATGAACGTTAGGGCTACTGCTTTTGTTACCTGTTGAAGATCATGCTCGAGCTTCTGACCTGAGGTTGGGATGCAGCCAGTTTTATCATCGCTCTGCGTTCTTTGCTAGCTTTGTGTTAGTATCTGCACAGACAGCATACTATCAATGAGCAGAAGTTGTGCTAGCAGTATAGTGCTGTTCTCTTGTCCTTTTGTTTAATAAAAACAAAAGTAACATCTGCATCTCCCCTTCTCAAAGCTTATACCACACCCCACCATTTCCCATCCTGGACACTCAGGCCTAGGAACCAGTTAGCAACCACTTATGGTGAGTGGCTGCTGGCAGTTGCTAGTATGAAACTTGTCAGTGCTGGATTGGAAACCTATTTGCAGATTGCTATGGTCGCTGTTGGAAAATACCAGCTACTTATTGAGTGGCAGTAAAACTGTGAAAAGCAGAAACAGAATCAGAAAGACTTTATTTATCCTCAAGGGGCAATTAACATACAGTACCAATCCAATCCAATTTTATTTATAAAGCTCTTTAAAATACCCAGCACAGGAACAAAGTGCTGTACAGAAAATAAGTTAAAACAATAGAATAACAGAAAACAGCAAAATAAATAAATAAAACACATAAAACATAAAATTAAAACAGCCCTATGTTAAAACAAAAACAAGATAAAACAGCATCGAATCACCTAAAAACAACTAAAATAAAAAACCAACATCTCACGTGGTGTCAAAGGCCAGGGTAAAGAGGTGGGTTTTCAAGAGTGACTTAAAAACAGATAAAGAACTGGCCTGTCTAATCTCTAAAGGAAGCTCGTTCCACAGTTTGGGAGCTGCTACAGCAAAAGCACGATCTCCTCTAAGTTTACGCCCAGTCCTGGGTATCTTCAGGAGCAGCTGATCAGCTGACCTGAGAGAGCGGGTGGGTGTATAAGGCTGTAGCAGCTCAGAGAGATAAGATGGGGCGAGGCCATGGAGAGCTTTAAAAGTAAATAAATGAATCCTAAAAGAAATGGGCAGCCAGTGAAGTGAAGCTAAAACAGGGGAAATGTGCTCAAACTTTCGAGTGCCTGTTAAAAGACGAGCTGCGGCATTTTGCACCCTCTGTAGATGACTAATATATAATGCACTGACCCCAATATAAAGCATACAACAGAGCAGCATGACGTTGAAGATAAGGACAGGGCATAAGAGTGAGAGAACAAATACACAGATTACACAGTTTTGAAATTAAAGTGACTGCACTGAAAAAAAGGGACTGGCCATCTCTTGGATTTATGTAAGCATCTTGCATGTATTTAACACAATTGCCTCATGTTTTAAAGTTAAATGTAACTATATAGTGTAAAAACTACATGATATGCAGAAAGGGTGTATTAAATTGTTCATATCATGTTCAGGTGAAGTAAGTCAATAAGATAGCAACGTTAAATCTCGTGAAACCACGCGTGATTTCATCTCGCGGGCTTTGGATCGTGGTTTAAAAAAGGCATCCATCTCAGTCAAGTCGAGCAGCCAACTCTACGTTTTTGGTATGTTATCCAGATTGTTAGTACAGTATTGATGCAAACTACAGGGTGGGCCATTTATATGGATACACCGTAATAAATGGGAATGGTTGGTGATATTAAAGTCCTGTTTGTGGCACATTAGTATATGTGAGGGGGCAAACTCCTCAAGATGGGTGGTGACCATAGTGGCCATTTAGAAGTCGGCCATCTTGGATACAACTTTTGTTTTTTCAATAGGAAGAGGGCCATGTGACACATCAAACTTATTGGTAATGTCACAAGAAAAACAATGGTGTGCTTGGTTTCGGCATCGTCTTGAGCCGTCTGTTGTAGTGATTTGACACATTATAAGTAAAATTGAAGCACACAATCCCGTCGCACAACATTAACATTTATTTATATACAAAATAAAAATGCTTTTTTTTTTTAAGCAGAAAAGAATTGTAATTTCACAGTCACCGTTTACATGGGTACATAGGGTAAGTCCCCATCCTTATCCCATAGTGATTTGGGTAATTTCTCAGGGCCTTGGAAGGGTGGCCATATCAGGATACATGTTTTAAAAGTGTGCTTAATGTAGGATACATGTTTGAAAAAGGATACATGCTTTTAAAAATGTAGTAAAATGCAGGTTTTTACCACATTTTAAGAAAGACAAATCTGGATGCATGTTTGAAAAAAATACGCAGGGTAGCTGTTTGAAAGATACGGTACAATATGTTTTTTGTTTTTTGAAAAGAATCAGTGTTTCAGAGAAAACATTAGCAGCCTCCTTTGTCACTCTGTGACCAAGCGTAGCTGTCCGATTTTCACCACGTCCAACCTCACCAGATTGTCGTATGCCTCGGCGACGGCGTCAAAAACTTTCCTTACTGATTTCAGTTTGTGCCACCGTGCGGACTTTGACGTCGTCCATTTTGATGTTGCGGGCAATCAGCAGACGTTGAATGGAAGGAATGAAACGAGGGGTGAGGAGTCTTTTTCTGATGCTGTAATAATTGTCAGCGTAAAAGTCATCCTCCAACACATCCTCCAGCAGACACTCGTGCTGTCTCTGGCTGGGCTGATCAAACTTACAGCCGCTGCATTCGTCAGTGAGGTACTTGTTGATTACTAGATTGACTAGGTGATACACAGCGGTTTTCATGGTATCAAACTGACAATCACCTCTAAACAGGGGGCTTAGTTTATAGGTTTTTTTGTTTGTTTGTTTTGTTTTTTATCAGGCACAACCACCAGACTAAGTTTGTAGTCTCACCTACTAATAATATTTTCTTATAGCACAATATTCAGCTTGGTTACTAATTTGACTTTCTTACTTTGAGCACATTTCTCAGGGTTCATACGCCTTTTTCATGGTCAAATTCAAGCACTTCTCAAGCACTTTCAAGGTCCCTTTTCAAGCTTTTCCAGCACATTGATGCTTTTTTCCTGTGTGACAAGAAATAGGAGATGTTTGTTTGTTGTTTGTTTGTTTTTTTAAGTTAATTCCCAATTAAACTGTTTTATTGCTAACTACATTGCTGTCTGTATTATTGCTGAAGTCCTAAATGATCACCTTTAAAGTGTTTGTGCTAATAACATCATGTACAGTCAGACAGGCATGGAGAACAGCACTGACTGGGAGAGGCTTTGAATAAATCACATAGTTCAATTCAACATACAAGACTTTAAGAAAATTTACAAGTATCTACTTAAAATCTATTGAATTTATCATCCGTCATATTATCACGTACAATTCCAATGTATTTTGCTCATCTCCCTTAAACAAACAGGCAGCCTTAAAGTATGAAATATTCATATACAAATACACATAAATGTGTGTACTGTCTCAGTGGCTGAT